TACTACGACCTTGATTTGACGAAACAAGATCATGGCTTTAAAGTTGGAAGGTAGGTCATGGTGTTCCGAGGAAGAGCAATTGAAGACTATGGCCATCGATTTCTTCAAAAAGTTATATGAGTGTGATACACACAACAAAAGGGAGAGTAGGTGTGTTTCAAAGGGACCCACACTATCTTCTGAAATGTAGGCTAATTTGATGAGGAATATTGATAAGAAAGAAGTAAAGAGAGCAACATTTTCCATGGGAGCTTTTAAGGCTCTGGGCCCAGACGGGTTGCAACCAATTTTCTATCAAAAGTATTGGCACATTGTTGGGGACTCGGTAACAAAGATGGTACAACGAGCGTTTCAAGATGGGCAAGTTCCAGAGAGAGTGAATCAAACTCTTATTACTCTAATTGCTAAGGTGGATCACTCGGAGATAATAGCCCAGTTTCGCCCAATTAGTCTTTGTAATGTCGTGATGCGAATTTTATCAAAAGGTTTGGTTGCTCAAATTCGACCGCTACTTGGAGATTTAGTAGGTCCAAATCAAGCAAGCTTCATTCCAAGGCGACATACGTCTGATAACATAGTGATAGTGCAGAAATTTTTGCATATTATGAACGAATGAAGGGTAAGAAAGGAGGGATGACAATCAAGATCGATCTTGAAAAGGCATATGATCAAGTTGATTTGAACTTTTTGCGATCAATGCTTGAAGAGATGTGTTTTCCTATGAATTGGATCACTCTAATTATGCATTGTGTTACATCTGTTCAATTAGTGTTGCTATGGAATGGTGAGCGCACTTCAACTTTCACTCCGGGACGAGGTTTGCGACAAGGAGATCCTTTATTTCCTTGCCTATTTGTATTATGTATGGAACTGTTAGGACCTATGGTTGAGAAGGATGTGGAAGCAAAGAAGTAGAGAGCTTTGAAACCTGCGAGAGGAGGACCTGAAATTGCCTCTTTGCTCTTTGCTGATGATCTATTTTTGTTTGGAGAAGATACTGAAAAACAAGCAAAAGTCATGAAAGAAACCATGGCTGCTTTTTGTGAAGTGTCAGGCCAGCTGGTGAATGCTCATAAATCTAAGATGTATGTGTCTAATATTCAAAGAACCTATGTTCGTGATTTGGGAACTCGGTTGAACATCCCCGTTCACCTCGGATTTGGGGAAGTATTTGGGAGTACTGCTAATCCATTCTCGGGTAACCAAGACAACCTATCAGTATATTCTAGAACGGAGGATCTAGAGTGGGTTAGCTGGTTGGAAGGCAGCACAATTATCTCTTGCAGAGAGGGTTACACTCATTCGATCAGTTACTTCTGCAATCCCGTCATATGTTATGCAAATTACTAAATTACTTAAGGGAATTTGTTTGCCGATTGATCAACTGGACATAAGATTTTTGTGGGGCGGCAGTGAAAATCATCAGAAAATTCATTTAATAGCTTAGGATAATGTTAGCCGACCAAAAGAATGTAGGGGTCTAGGCATTTGGCGGATGGAGGATATGAATGTGGCGCTTCTAGCAAAAATAGGGTGGTGATTCTTCAAAATGACACAGCTTTGTGGTCTTGAGTAGTTCGAAGTAAATACTTTAGAGGTTGCGAGAACATTTGGGGAGATAGACAGTCAAATGCGTCTTATACATGGCGTAGTATTGGTAAGGGATGAGAGATTTTACAAGGACTGAAATGACAAGTAGGCAATGGTGATCATGTGCTGTTTTGGATGGATAATTGGATCACTGAGACACCTCTGTTACACTTAGCTACTGGAAGGGTCGAAGTTGAGCAACAAGGCAATGTTATGAGCCAATTGTGGACTGATGAACAAGGTTGGAACTGGGAGATGTTTGAACGCTTGCTCCCTGATTGGGTCTGGGAGAGAATTAATTGCATCATTGTGAAGCCAGGTGTGGAAAATAGGGATAGTTTAATTTGGAAGCATGAAACTCATGGCAGGTTTACCATTGGGTCAGCGTACGAACATACTTGTGACAATCAGAACCTATCTACCGATGGCAAGGAATGGAAAACTATCTGGAAAGCCCATGGTCTACCTTATTGGAAGCACCTAGTTTGGTTGGCAAGAAATGGAAGGCTCTTGACTAATTAACAGATTATCCGGCGGCATATCTCTGATGATACAAGTTGCTCCTTGTATGGTTATCATAGTGAAACAGTAGTTCATGCTTTAAGAGATTGTTCCCTTCCACAAACCATTTGGCAGCGATTGGTGCCAATTAACCTACATGAAAGATTTTTTGTCTCCCTTTAAAGAGTTAGATTGATGATAATATGAGTAGGAAGCTGGGTGGTTTGGAAACTAAGGATCATTGGCAATCACTCTTTATGTGTGCTATAGCCTCCGTTTGGTTTTGGAGAAATAAACTGCGCTATGATCCAGAGTTTTTTCTGCCTTCAAATCTAGTGATGGAAATCTATGGAAACATTGAGGAGGTAGAATTAGCAAAACAATTCTATATTCAGAAATAGAGAAAGTGTGTTAAAGTGCAATGGCAGCCACCGATGGTGTTACGACCCAAACCTGCCTCTATAGGTTCAGTGTCGTAACTGGCTAATAATCCTTTGATTACCAAAGACCTTTGAACAGAATAACATGTAATTAAGGGGCTAGCAGAAGTAGGCATAGAACATACATAGTCCATTGAGCTGTGTATATATACATGTGACAGAAATTTCGAAACTTATATACATATGCGTGATGTCATAATTACAGTAGTCTTATGTCACATTCATTACAGATATAACCAGAAGGGAACTTAGCCCAAAATACAAATAAACAGAAAACTTGTTCATATTCCAAAAAGAAAACAAAGTCTTATACGTTCACAAAACATGACTACATGACTTTCGGAACCTCATCGGGAGGCACAAGGGTTAGCTAACACAAACAAATCTTCTGGCTGCCACTATTAAGCCTGAACACTCACTGGATCATATACATACATAGAATAATAGAATGAGCAGGAGCCCAATGAACAATAATAGAGTAAAGGGTTTTAATTGAATGATGTCCCTTATTAGATTCAGAAAACATATTCCATATCAGGAACAGATTCATATACTTATACGGAAATCAGAGTTCATGCTTAATCATACGTGGTACGTCCATTAGCGTTAACAAAATAGATACAAAATAGATGCAGACAGATATAGAACAGTTGCAGATCAAATAGTGGTTATGTAACCAGTTCCATAAAGGAACCTTTAGATCCAGGTAACAGAGAATAGATATGTTGAGCCCCATAATAGGGTCTCCGGTGCGGGCAACAGATTGCAGACATATTTAGTTTCATGATGGAACCTCCGATACCGGGTAACAGCTAACTGATATCACATGATGCTAAGGATGCCACGAATATATTGTCAGAAATTGGACAATCATTCATTATATAAAACATATCATTTCAGAAAACAAATTTTATTTCATCATATAGAAAATATATAAAATTGAACATAGCTTTACTAAGTTATTACTCATAGATAGCTCCAAAGCAAATAGACAGAGTAGACAAATCGAAACTTGCGACGCGTGACCTACACAAACATAACAGATACACACATATTGAAACACATACTCGGATAGCACTTAACTTAATTCTTTCTTATCTTGGCGTTTTTCTAGTCCTTATCCTCATTATTATATCTTAATCATGGCCTTGGAATGCCTAGGATGCAATGAGGATGCCAAAACATGTTGTTCAACACTTAGTTAAATTGCTAAAAACAGGGTATTCACTCGAGAGCGGAGGTTCAAAATAAACATAGTTACTCGAGCGCAACTTTGGTCGCTCGAGCGGTTTATAAACTCTGCAAAAGTACTAGTTGTGTGAATTTTTCACTCAATGGTCACTCGAGCGTAAGACAGAGATCTTCACTCAAGCGGTCTGCAAAATGTGTAAACTTCTGAGAGTATGCATTTTACGCTCGAGCCAACTTTTCTCGCTTGAGGGGGAGTGCAAAACAAAGGGTGGTCACTCGAGCGCAAGATCTGTTGCTTGAGCGGAGAAATAGAATTCTGGAATTTCTAGATTTGCTCCCTAGCTCAAAATTCGAATTCAAAGCCACAAATCATGTTCTTTTGGGCCAAAAGCTTGAAAAAACATGTGTAAACTTGTCAAACATCATGAATTCAAAACCATTTCTCCAAATCAAGGCTCAAAAGCTTGAGAATTGTGTAAAATCAAACTTGGTATATTATGAACATAATATGTATGAAGTATCTTGGCTTCAAAGCTTTCAAAACTTGTTCAAATGAAATGTTAAGCACAAAAACATGTTGAATTCTTAAAACAAAGGCAAGAGGAGTACATGCATGTAAGAATTCTTTGAAATCAAACTCAAATTGTGGTGAAATGAACATGCATGCATGATATGATCTTCCTTACTAACTCATTAGCTCAATTCTTGTATAACTCAAATTCATGTTCTAAATACCAAGATTATACAATCTAAATGTTGAATCCTTACGTCAACTTCTCAATCAAGCTCTAAATGGTGAATTCACTAAGGCTCCAAACCAAATCCTTGAATTCCAAGCTAATTCCTTCCAAATTCTAGCAATTTCCTTGTTTGATCTCAATTCTCTCATCTTCTCATGTTTATGTCATCAAGGATGAAGATATGAGAGTGTAAAATGTAACTAAGGGTTAACTTGTGACTTATATAGGCTTGTTTTAATTAAATTTAATTAAACTTGGTTAGACTTAGCTAATTCCATCTATTTTATTCTAATTAATTCGTTCTGAATCAAATTAAATTAAACCTATCATAATTTTCTAAAAATTCCAAATGACACATAAATCAAGTCAATTTTGTGATTAGATGCCGACATGGCCTTCAATTCATAGAACAAAACAGAAACACAAACATATATGCCTACAGCAGACAAATATAAACACAAATAATATAATAAACATGCAATTAATTTAGAGTTTCATCTTAATTACTCACTAAGCATTCTTAATCATGGTTTAGTGGCTAATCATATTTCGAGGTTGTTATAGTCTTCAATCTTAAAAGAGTTTGGTCCTCCAAACTTGAATTATGTTCGTTTTGGAAAAATGCCAAGTCTAGAGGGAACAAATATGGGTATCTTTTCATCATATCTTCTTCGATCTCCCAAGTCGCATAAGTCCCTCCATGGTTTTGCCAATCAACCTTCACCAATGGAATTTCTATGTTCCTTAGTTTTTTGATTTGGCTGTTAACAATCTGTATTGGCCGTTCTTCATAAGTAAAATCATCTTTCAGAAGCATATGAGTTGGTTCAATCACATGGAATAGATCTCTCAAATACTCTTGAAGCATAGATATATGAAAAACATTATGCATATGCTCCATGATCGGCGGTAAGGCTACCTGATACATCACCGGATTGATTTTCTCAAGAATTTCATATAGCCCAACATATTTTGGTGCTAACTTGTCTTTCACTCTAAACCGCATTTGGCCTTTCATTGGGGTTACTTTAATAAACACATGATCTCCAACTTCATATTCTCTATTTCTTCTCTAGACATTCGCATAACTCTTTTGGCGGCTTTGTGAAGTTTTCATTCGTTGCTGAATTAGTTTCACATTTTCATTTGTTTCTTGCACAAGTTCCAGTCCTAGTAATGGTCTATTATCTACCTCAATCCAACAAATTGGAGAGCGACACTTCCTACCATACAATGCTTCATGAGGAGCCATTCCGACGCTTGAATGATAGCTATTATTATACAAAAATTTGGCCAAGGGTAAATGAGTCTCCCAATTTCCTTAGAAGTCTAACACACACATCCGTAACATGTCTTCCAATGTTTGAATGGTCCATTCAGATTGACCGTTTGTCTGTGGGTGATAAGCATTGCTTAGTCTCAATTCAGTCCCCAAAGCCTGCTATAGACTCTGCCAGAATCTCGATGTAAACTTGGGATCTTTGTTAGATACTATGGAAATTGGGACTCCATGCAATTTCATAATCTCATTTACATACAGATTAGCCAACTTATCCGCATTATACAAATATTTGATAGGTAAAATGTGGGCAGATTTAGTTAAACAACCAACAATGACCCAAATAGAATCCATACCTCGAGAGGAGCGAGGCATTCCAACAATGAAGTTCATCATGATATGCTCCTATTTCCATTCCGGTATTGGAAGCGGCTGAAGTAGTCTAGCGGGTCGTTGATGTTCAGCTTTAACTTGTTGGCAATGCAGATATCTTGCTACAAAATTGGCAATACTTTTTTTCATTCTAGGCCGCCAGAAATTTTGCTTCAAATCATGGTACATCTTTGTATTTCCCGAATGCATAGCAAATTTTAAATTGTAAGCTTTAGTCATAACAAGTTTTCACAAGTCAGAATAATCCGGTACACAAATTCTATTCTGAAACTTCAGCACATTATTAGCAAGTACAAATCCCGGCCTCGATTTTGAGTCAATTTCATCCACAATCTTCTTCAAAAACTCATCTTGCAATTGTTTCTCTCTAATTTCCTCAATGATTGCAGGCTGAACGGAAATGGCGACTAAAATCCCATCTTGTTCATGCAGCACAATTTCAATTTCATTTCTTTCTAGGTCGCATAACAAGTCATTCTAACCGGTGAGCAAACATGACAAATTCCTGATTGACTTCTACTCAATGCATTGCAACGGTATTTGTCTTCCCTAGATGATATAAGATTTGCAAGTCATAATCTTTGATCAATTCCAGCCACATTCTCTGTCTCATATTCAATTCTTTTTTAGTAAAGAAATATTTTAGACTTTAATGGTCAGTGTACACTTCACAAGTCACTCCATATAGATAACGACACCAAATTTTTAATGCAAAAACTACAGCTGCCAATTCAAGGCCATGAGTTGGATAATTCTTTTCATGCGGACGGAGTTGTCGAGAAGCATAGGCAATTACCTTCCCATTTTGCATCAATACACACCCCAAGCTTTTATAGGAAGCATCACTATAAATCTGAAACCCATCAGTTTCATTAGGCAATGTTAGAATTAGTGCAGTTACCAATCTAGATTTTAGTTCTTGAAAGGCTAAATTCCATTGATCATTCCACTTAAATGGTACATTTTTCTATGTCAACTGTGTTAATGGCATTTCACAAATCTGCGATAATATCCTGTAAGCCCCTAAAAGCTTCTGATTTCTGAAACATTGGTTGGTCTTGGCCAGTCTACAATGGCCTCAATTTTTTGTGGGTCCACTGATATACCATCCTTGTTGATTACATGTCCCAGAAATGCTACACTGTCAAGCTAGAATTCACATTTGGAAAATTTTGCATATAACTTTTTTTCTCTCAAAATCTGGAGAGCAGTTCTCAAATGGTTCTCATGTTTTTTCTTACTTTTGGAGTAAATCAGAATATCATTGTAACATGCTTGGGGGGTACCCGTGCACGTTAAACAGTTTGGACCCTTGATTTTTTTGATCTAGTCTCACGAGTGCAATGTGAAACATAGATGAGAGTCCAGATTTAGCAACTTTTAGAAAATTCATTTTATTGCAAAAACTATTTGCTAGAAATGTATTGCATTATCAGATCTCATAGTCGCCATTTAATATTTATTTTGAAAAAATTAGGAAACCTGTGACTCGTGCCAATGCCACTGTTCGTCGTAACCAAGGATGCTTGGCTCGGAACCTTAGGTATGAAGAGGGAATGTCATTAATCGAGCACCCACACTCACCCAATCAAAAGATCGGCCTTTACTAAACCATGATTTGAATTTTATTTTCTTTATATGCTCATATTCTGATTATTTAATAAATCCTAAAATTTATTATGTGAAGCATACAAGTATAGACTATGCTATTCATTTTGGAACAATTTGATTTCATATATTCTGAGAGAGTTTTGAAGATGTACAACCCAAATAAATTGAGTTTACAACCATGAAAAATCAACATCATTCCAAATTAAGCGACACAACCTCTATCCATTGTCATTCATACAGTTATATCAAGTAAGCAAGTAGCCACATGGTAAGATGCTTAAACATAATAAGAAAAACACACACAAGCAGAATGCTAAAGCATAAAAACTTACATATTTACCGACGTCCTGCAAACAACTACAAAACAAAGTGAGTAAAACGTGCATGATTTTATATACAAAATCTTAATGCAATTCACTCATAAGATGCAACTAAAGATTCGACTTCTAAGATATGACATGTGAATCATCTCAAAAATATGAGATAGCGCACATAATCACATAAGAATTGATTAAATCCATAAATGCAAACCTAGTAGGTGGTGGGCATTCCCTAAAAAAACTAAAAAGTCAAAAAGTCACTAAAAAAGAAAAAAAAAAATACTATTCACATGTTTGGGCAGGAAATAAAATTTTGAATAGACAGTATATAAAAAGACAGAAATGCCCTTGGTACACTCCCCTTCCAACAATGCACTTTTTGATAAAAAAAAAAAAAAATTCAAAATAGTGCAGCATAGTGCATTGACGCACGGTGCAGCATAACACAGTCACTGACATGCACGGAAGTATGTCAGTGCTCAGAAGGGTAGGAAGGTAATTTTGCTAGTTGATACAATATTGTAATACACATTTTTTTCGTAAAAAGTCAAAAAGTTATCCCAAATATACATCTTTTTTTCCTCTAGTCTTTTAGCCAAAAAGTCAAAAAGTACACTTATATAGTTCATCCCAAACAACCCCTTAGCCGAATCAAGATGCATGAAACATAGATGCGAAGCATGGATGTAATGAAAAACAAAACATGATGCATATTCACAAATAAAGAAAGCAAGTAAAAGAATGGGATAGAAAGAAGGGGGCGGGGAATTATTACAACATTTTAAATATTACAAATCCGAGGGAGATGAATAAATATTACAACACAATACAAAAAACCTCACAAACACTCAAAATAAAATAAACATAAGAAAATAGCAGCTTCAAGCGTCTCAAAGACCATCCGAGGTTGATCTTTTCAATATCGGAAGGCTGCCCGATTTTGCCTAGAGGTTGCGGGTACGATCATGAAGGTTGCGGGCGCGATGGTGTACTTTTAGGTGGCTACCCGGCCAACTAATGGGCTGGGTAGCTCTATAGGCTCGGCTAAACTCTGTTTTCTTAGATTTCTACAAAAAAAAAAAAAAAAAAAAAAAAAAAAAACTAGAATTAAAAACAATATATATGGAAGTCTCAACTCACTACTTTCAATTATAACAATATATAAATATAACAAGAAATCAAAGCAAAAAAGCAAAATAAGTAAGAAATGCAATGGGTTCAATATGACGTCCGATTGAACCCAATTCAATTTTATTATCTTGTGCCCCTTTAATCCAATTTTATTAGCCATTTTTATTACCTTTCTATTCTTTAATCATTTTGTCCAAAAGTGATAATTACGTCCACTAATGAAGAGAAGCGTCAAACAAGAAGTTTGTTCTTGGTATGAGAGAGAGATATAATGCCCTAGTAATGAACCTCCAAAGAGATTAAACCATTTAGCATGGAATGTCCCTTTCTCATGCTTAAAACAGAACTAAAAATAATATATATGGGTCTCTTAATTCACCGCTTTCAATTAGATTACAATAATATATAATATAACAAGAAATCAAAGCAAATAAGCAAAATAAGTAAGAAATGTACGAAAATGAAAAGTTTGTGAAATTCACATTCCAAGGAAATGATGAACTCCTTAGTTCACAAACTTCCTCTTGATCACTCTCAAGTGTAGGAAGTGTGTTCTCAAATCCTCAATTCGAAATTATGGAGTTTATAGTATGGAGAATGACTAACTCTCTAGTTTTTCTCACCTTCAATCACTAAACACTCTTCTTTATGATCAAGACAATTGATCTTTAGTTATATCAGAATTTTTGGAGTGGTTTTGGTGTATGGAAATGGGAAATTTCAGTAGCTATGAAAGCTGGAAGTGTTTTGGCTCAAGGTTGCATTTTAGACAATCTTCCTCTATTGCTCTCTTTTCTCTCTAAATCTCTCGAATGATTTTCCCCTCTTCTTTTCTAACCTCTCCCTCTTTAATCTATCATCTGAATGTATAAGCCATGTAGGAATAAATAAGTCAAGGAATAGGGGACAAGGTGGAAGACAAAGGTGATGGGCATGACAAGGATGATAATGATGATCAAGACTTTGCTGCTTTTGATTCATCCTTTTTGACAAGGCCAAAACCTCTTTTGATAATGGAGGGTGAGTGAAGATAATGGTAGATGAGTGGGTGCACTTAAATGGATCATAAAATGGCTCAATAGGGTGTCCCAACCGAACCAAAACCAAAAAAAAAGAGGTCTGATGCTGTTTCGGGTTCGATTAACAAAATCTGTTCTTAAGCCCAACTTCAAACTGGCATGTCTCCCTTATCCAGATTCAGTTTTAAGTGATTCTTGTGTCTAAGTTGAAACCTCAGAAGTCTACTTTCCAATGGTTATTGCCTCACATCTAAATTCTAAGTGT